AAACATGGTACTTCTAGAAAGATTATATGCTGCATGATTCTATTTACAAAGATCTAGGACAGACAAATCTGATTTATAGTAGAAAAAAGAACAATGGTTGCCTTTGGGGGAGTAGGGTGGGGAAAAGGATAGACTAGAAAGGGCAATGTGGGAATTTTCTACTAACATTTTGTATTCAGTAGCACTTGTATGTATTTGCCAAACTCAGTGGAGGCACGCTTAGGATTTATGCATTTCACTGTATGCTAATTTTATACCAAAAGTATAAGCAAACATTGAACTCTAGTTAGTGATATGTGTGCTGAAGTATTCGATATGAAGTTTTCAGATGTCTGCAATTTAAAATGCATCAAAAATAATCTGAATTGATGAAACCATGGATAAATAAGTGGTAATGCAAGCATAATTAATGCTAACTAGCTTTTGAGTGGTGAGTATACTGTAAAATTTTAACTTTTTTAAATGTTTGAAAATTTTTATAATAAACTGTTGAGGAAAAAGATCCAGGATGTTAACACTTACCAAATAATGCTGCTGAGAATTTCATTATTGATTCCACAGTAATATAACCATCAAATTCTTCAAATCAGTGTCAATTTAAAAACTTAAGAGCTTGTGAAAAGACATTCCTGAGTGTGAGGTGAGCAATCAGTTCTCAAATCTATGCTGGCCTACCTTAAAAAAATGCAATACATACACTGATCACATATTCTGAGCAAATTTGTTGCCTGTATAGACTAACAAAAAAACTAAGATGAAGGAACACTCTTAAGAGAAAAATGAAGTACAGAATTTGTTCTCCCTGATTTCTACACTAAAAAAGCAGGGTAAACTATAAAAACAAAGATGTATAGACCCAAAACATAATGAGAGGTGAACAGGCCCCGATGTTCTGAATGGAAGGACATCTGAATCTCTTGTCTCTATGAGGAACACATCTGGAGACACCCTAAAAAAATGGCCTTTCACTTGTAAATACTACTAAGGTGACTCTCTGAAACTAAGAATGGCTTCAGACTTCAATAGCTTATTGTCAGAAATAAGTTTTCCACATGCCTAAAAACCCATTAGTGAATAACATTGCTCTTACCTAGCAGTTGGTAACTATTTTTAGTTATCTGCTAAGAATTCCTGTATCATTATATATACTGCACCCTAAGAGTTCTCTAAACAAAACTAATCTTGATTATTTAAAAAATTTACTCACTGCTATCAAGATATTTAGTCATAGTTCTGGCTTTGCTTTGCTCTCTAAATTCTTCATGTTCTAGTACAGGCTCTGCTTTTTCTTGATGTACTTGGACTAGGGTGGTCAAGTTTCCAAGTTTGCTTTAAAATAGCACAGTCATGTAATTCAGCATCTTATCTGAATAAACCTTTTTCAGTCTTAAACATTCCCCTGTATGCTATTTCGTGGAACATCTTTAGTTCTATCAATCTTTATTTCAGGACCGGCCTTTTAGTCATTATCACTGCCCAAGTTTACCAAGATTGCTCTTCTCTAACCATAACAGCACTAAGCGTAGTCTCGTCGTTTTTTTTTTAACCTCATTATTGGGATACTTTATAAATACCTTGACAGGCTGGTGCTAAGATCAACTCTGAGTATGGCTTTTACTTACTTTCTTACTTACTTATTAATGGAATTGTGTCATGTCCTGTCAACCTCAAAGTAGATGATGACACACCTGTCTTCCATCTTGCTGGTCTACCACCCTGCCATAAAGAGAGTTAATTTGTCAGATTTTAAAGCCTTGTTATTTACTGATGAGCTCACTGACTCCGCCCTTAGTATTTTCAGTACCTAATTCTGAATGTAGAGGAAATGGAGCTTAGGGAGATGAGCATAAACAATGTGCCATTTCCCCTACAATCCTGTGCTTGTCATGAGGCGAACAAAATTAAAAAATGCTCATTTTATAGTCCGAAAAGATAATTATAGTAATAACACCTTTCACTTTGTATAACACTTTAGTTTTCAATGTAATTTAAACATGGTAATATTTCATTCTTGATATGATTTCTCTTTTTATAGACCTAGAGTAGTTTAGTGATTTTTAACCAAGGTTGGTAAATGGCAAAGCCAGATTTTGAAGTCAGCTTTTCGAATTCCAAACTCTTGCCTTTATACTCACTACAGTTATTATTTTAGCCTTTATGATCTTTTCTCTACTATTCTTGCCATTATTTGTGCTTCTTAGCTAAACCTAGACTTTTCAGTAGCACATACTGAAGTCGAATAATGTCAGATGTTAAATCTGTATTTCATTTTGCCTAATCCAATGAGGTACGTTTGTTGTACTACATACCAGAAGAGTATTTTCCACTCCCAACTGAACTTTTCATTTTGGGAACTAAAAGTTAACACAGGTAAGTCCGCTAATTACATTAACTGTTCAGGTATGTTCCGGCCCATCTTTTTAAATCCTAGAAAAATTTTCCTTTGGGGGTTTAAGCAAATATATCTCAATCATGCAAATCTTATCATCGATATTTACTGATATTAGTTTCCTGTACCATTTTTAATAGGCTCAAGATATGGAAGACTTTAGCAATCATAGTATATTTAGTTTTTAGGAGTTTTTATTTTACTATGGTCCTGTGAGGATAGAGAAAGTACACAGTAACATCCAATCTCTCTGGCAACGAACTAACAGTGAATTCTTTCTCCAAAAGTAGACTGTACATTGATAGGTTCAGCTAATCTTACAATCACACCCTTGGTTACAATGGGCTTAGATTAGAGAATATGGTTTCCTCAGCATTATCAGAAATGTAATGGTCATGTTCATACTAAGCAGTATGCCACCAACTATAATAATAATAATAATAAACTAAATGGCCCACCATATGTCAACTGATGGGGCAATGAAACCAACAACAAACACATTAATACTAGGTACCATTTGAGAGCACTGTCCAATTTAAATGCCTGTTAAGTGAGAGGAGTGTCCAATCTTTGACACAGCCATGAAGCCTAGATAGACCTCCATCAACGTCTTAGCTGGCAGGCAGTGCAGTTTCACCCACATCACCAACGAGTTACAGCAGCAGAGTAAGGTCATCAGCAATAAGGACTGGGAATAAGTCAGTTCCATCTGAAATAAAGTTATCATGTTTGCATCATAACTCTACTAGGTTAGACATGTGTGAAGAGAGGCCAAAACTGCTGATATATGCCGAATTTACACTGGAGTAAATACATAATAAGGAAAAAAAAACCCAGACCCAAACCAAAACCAAACAAAACTAGCCCAATTAACACTTCAGTAATTCCCTGAGATAGGCTAAAGTAACATGGAAAGATGTGGTATACACCAATTAGAAATGATGGTTCTTTCTCCATTTGCTGGTCAACGTTAACTTATCACGTGCAAAAAGCTGTGATTTCAAACAGACTGCAGTCATTTCCTTCACATGTGCTCTAAATGAACGATGACCCTATAAAAAATCATATTAGGGCATTGTTGGATTTTCATTCATAACTGTATGTGTATATTCAGATATACATATAGAAAGTAGCAGCAAATTTTCAAATGAAGAGCAACAGTATTTATTCAGCTTCATCTGAAATACTCCAATTACAAATAATAATTTTCAGAAGCTGCCTTATTTTACTTCTGCTGTAGGCAGGATAGCTTAAGGCATATAAAAATTAACTTATTTGTAAGTAGCTGAGTTGATGGTAGAACTAAGTGTCTCATTACTTAGAATCCAGTCCCTTTCTAGCAAAGTCTTAATAAAAACATTCTAAGTACTCTGAAATTCAGTAGAAGAAATAGAGATTTAACTAAGTATCTAAATTAGCTAATATTGAAATACCTAAAATAGCAAATGACTTGCCTATGAGTAGATTCACTCACTAGTCAGTCCTAACTTTAGGAAATATATTTAAAACCCACCTCAGATTGCAATATAAGAGGAATTATTACTAATGTCTGCAAAAGACCATTCACATACAGAGGAAGTGAGCAAATATTACGCATAAGCAAAAGTCTGGGAATAGAATCCTTGCAAGATGCTTTCCCTTGAAAGAGCTTATGATCAAGTAACAACATAAACAATTGTAGCATGCGGTTAGCACCATCATGAAGACTGAAATGAAGAATCACAAAAGTTTATATTCCTAGAAATTAAGCCCTAAAAGACTGAGAGAATTATCAAATATAGAAAGAACTTCCGGAATGTTCTCAGAAGCAGTGGCAGCACAAAACAAGATGGAGCATTTGAACGTTGCTCTCGGATTTCCTGGCATGTTTGACTGGAAAAAAAGCCTGCACCTTTAACCAAAACTGCTCCAAGAGGAGAAAGGTGAAAATATAACTTCATCTAGTTTGAAATGTCAAATAAGTAGCTGAAAGTGTAGGTCTAGAATTTTGGACCAGATACGTAAAATAGGACATTGAGATAAAACAGAAACCCCTATAAGGATGAGAGTCTGAAGCAGTCTGAAGACAGAATCTGAGAGAGCACATTCCTGTAGATATATCTTAAATAAGAGTGATATGACTATACTCACAGCTATGGCAGAGGATGACATCTTCAAGGGAGGAGACACTGTCTAGGAAATGTTGCTAAATGGTATAAATGTTAGAGACAGAGAAGGATAAAGGATGCAGAATGAGAAAAAAAAAAATTATCCAATTCAGTAACTGGGAGTCCACTGAGAACAGTTTCACTGCAGGGCTGTGTAAAACCAGACTGCAAGGTACCGAGCAGTGAGCAGTGAGGATGTAGGGGCAGTGAATGTCGGTTTCTCTAAGAAGTCTGGCAGTGATGAAGGCCTGAAAACCAGCAGGTACAGAGGGAGTTTTTTACATTGGAGGGAGGATACATGAGCATTTTTGAAGATGATGAAAAGGAACCAGCATACAATTATTTGCATATTTTATATTGATCACAGACTAAAAAGTTATTTTTAATCCTTTTCAAAAACATTTTCTGGAATAAAAATCAACACAAAAATTAAATTATGTTATTTTTACCATTTAAACTTAATATAAACTTAAAAGCATTAGCACTTTGTAATTTTATTTCTAAAAGAGTTGTACAGTTGTTAATAGACTATGTCAGAATTTTGCTTCTAGTCTATTGAGAGAAATTAAATTTTATTAACAATTGCTACTTTAGTTCTAGAAAAATTACTCTGATATAAAGGATTACACTTAAGTAATTACATATATCTTCTTCCCCAGCCCTCTTTCTCCAAAGACAAAGTATCTCTAGGGCAGCTAATAATTTGGATAATATTGTTCAAGTTGAAGAGAAAAATTAGAAATAGTACTCCATTATTCATAAGTTCTTAAAGATCTAAATTGTTCTTCACAATTATTTTTTCATGATAAAACATGCTGTTGTTATATACACATGCTTACATATGAATTTCCTGGCTAAAACACATGCAACCAAGTTGAAAAAACAAATATTAAACCATCTTCACAATCCTAAGAATGCCCTTTTCAATAAGGCACTCATGTTTGGAAATAGGATATAATCACCAAATTAAATATTTAAAAGCCTTTTATTAAGCACAAACAACTTTTAATACATTATCAATACAAATAGGAAAATGTCTTTCGATGAATACGATATATCAAAGATCTGTTTTCTTCATACTGACACAATAAAAATAATCAAATTTGAAAAGAATTACAAAGTAAAATTGCGGGGACACCACTATTTACTAATAACCATTTAACTACAGTCTAAATTTACTACATCACCTGGGGAGAAAGGGCAACCATTTTTTATATAGAGAATTCCTAAACTCTTATTAGCACCATTCAAAACTTATTATCAGTTGTTCATCTACAAACTGACAGGTCAGGTAAAGCTTTAAAGCAAGTTTTCAGTGCAATGTTTACAGTTCCTTCTTTTAAGATACTTGGAGTCTATGGTCTCAAAGCATGTTAAATAATTATGCCTTGGCAGTTGCAAGGTGTTAACATGTAGAGAGAAATGTGTAATGAGAAGAAATGAGGCTTATCTTGGATGTGAAATGTATCTTAATGTATTGTGGCTAATGCTGTAGTATGCCGATGACATGCGGAATTATTATGAACGCAGATCTGAGGGAAGCTGGCAGCTATTAGCTCTCTGTGGTCATCATTTCAGGATGTCTCAGCTGCTGCCTTTTGAGACTAACTAGTTTCATCCTGTCTCTGATGTGTTCTGCAGTAGAAGCCATGTCACTTGGACTCCCAAAATATTGCTCAGTTCTAAAAATCAAAACAAACAGAAAAACCCCAATCAGATAAATCCACTGACCAAAGCAAATGCAAAAGAAAGCAAAATTATCATAAAAATTATCTCTGTGGGATGACATTAGTTCATTTGTAGGCCATACTGTTTATCTGTGAGTAGTAATTCAGTGGGAAAAACAATTTTTAAAATGGCATAAGATATATTAAGACATGTTGAGAAAAACATTAGTGGTATAAATGTCATATCATTTGTATTTAATATAATAATCTCAATAAGCCAAGAATGCAGCCAAGCTATGTGACAATAAATGAAACATTGAAACATTGAAGATACTTTGTTTTTCAGTTTTGGGTCTATACAAATATAAAATCTGTGTGTGTGCTTCAGTGCTGAGAACTATGTACACCAACTGTCTAATATATCTGGCAAGTAAAATATCTACTTAATGTTAAGGCATCATTTGGGGCGTTAATAGATACAATCATTTAATTTTATTCTACCTGCAAAGATACCGTGTTCAGAGTCACAGAATCTTTTAGTGGTAGAACAGTTCTTGAAAATTACTTGGTAAACTCTTCATTCTTTAGATCAGAAAACTAAGTCTAGAAAATTAAATGGCTTAACTAAGTTCACGCAGTAAAAAACAAAACAAAACAAAACAAAAAAAATTTGAACCTGGGTCTTCAAGCAGTGAATCTAGAAAGACCATCCATTATTTTTGTATTTTTCCAGAATGTTACAAAATATGAATCTGAATAATCTTACTGTCAAACAAACCTTTCACGACTAAATAGATTATCATATAAAATAGAATAAAATAATTCCAAATATTAAAGGTGGCAGTTGAAAAATTTGAATATACAGCACTAACTTATTCTTTAATCTAAAAAGGACTAGGAAAAAGAGGAGGAGAAGCTCAAGCAAAAACATCAGGGGGAAAAAAAAAAGTCATCAGGGACAGATGTTCCCAGACTGACCTGAGTAGAACAGGACACCGACTGTTTGACAACTGGCTATGAGACACAGAAATAAGGGTTTGAGTGGTGGTGTTCTAAAATGGAACATTAGAAGTGCCCCTCTAACACTGTTACTAGTTGAATTCATAAATTTTGATTCTTTTATACATTGAAGAGGTATAACATAACTTTAGGCTACTTCTGATTACTCAAGTTCAGGTTAATGAGAGATTATCTCTATATTAAACTATGAATGATATCCAAGAGAATAAAAATGTATCTTCTCAATATCAATTCCAAATAATCATTTGACATTCATGACGCAGTAGTACTTGCACTTACTATGTGTTAGACTTGTTGTAAGTAGTTTACGTATATTTAGGTAATATAACTCCCCTGCCCTATAACCTGAGGAGGTATGAAAAGTATGTCCCTATTTTTAGATGAGGAAATTGAGGTACAGGAAAAGATTAAGTAGCTTGTCCATGATGTCACAGCTAGTAAGTGATGCAGCTGAGATTTAAATATAAGATATCTAGTTAGAATCCACAATCCTAACTAGTATACTATCCTAAAATGTAAGGATAGATGTAGTCAATGCTTTGGTTTCTCTATCATTTGAATTAAATATTCTCTGAATTACCTTTAAATTACTTCCACTGAGAAGGTCTAAATCCTCAGGAATAAAGTTTGTTCTGATTCATTTACTGGCTCATTTATTTGCATTAAATTGTTTCATATTTTTATCATTGACTATTTAAAATGGAAAGAAACATGGGAATCAGGAGCCCATAATTTTACAAATTAAAGAATCAGAACTCCACGTAGTCCAGTGAAAAGAGAAGGGGTTTAGAGCCAGAAAGAACTGAGATTGTATCCTAATTCCACTTAGAAACTGTGAAATCCTGAGCTCCTTACTTAATCCTTCCAAGCCTCAGTTTCTTCATCTGTAAATCAGAAAGAATCATACTGGCCTGGCGCTGTTTGGTCAAAAGTAATACAGGCGAAGTGTTTAACCTGGTGCCTGGCATATATTGAGCTCACTAAACATTAGTCCCCACCCGTCTCCTCAATGATACCAAAGTCATGCCTAAAGTCACTCTACTCCCTATCGTCATAGCCAAGGCTAGAACTTAGGAAGTCAGCCTACCCAATGACCTTTCTTCTACAAGTAGTCAAGAAGCAACACATCTGATGGCAGCAAGTATCAACTGAGTTTCATAAGAGCCGAGTATAGATTTCTTTTCATTTTAAACCAATTTATTGTAGGAAATGAAAATGTGGACCAAAGCTAACTGACTTGGCTTTTTTAAAAAATAAATTTTCCTCTCGACGATTTCACTGTAAGACCTCACAGATGAAAAAAACAAAATTATAAGAATATGCACCATACCCATCAGGATAAACTACAGGAACAGTTAATCTATCCAAAAGTGATTTCCCAACTGCTTCAATTTCATCAAATTGTTCCTCATCATTAATAGCTTCAGGCTCTTCTGGACAGTCCTGCAAAATCTGCAACAATTAAAAGGGCAACATCAATCAAGAGACATAGAAAAGGAATCAAACTCACGTAAATGTAATAGATTGGAGGTGTTTTCATTTTGTTCTTAGCATCTTCATGTATACCACCGTACAAGATTAATCTATTATTAGCAAAACTGGCTCAAGAAATTCAAACAAAATGTAATATATAATCTCTACTAATAATATATAATTTGAGTATGAAAAGGTCTACAGTGATTTCTAAGAACAAAATTATACTAGGCAACTATTCGGAAAGCAAGCTCAAACTGTGCTTACGAAGTATTCTTTCATTCATTAACTATTTAATATTTATTATATGTTTATTTAGCAGCTCCAGGATGTGAATGAGTATAGATTTTGACCTATAGGAGCTTACAGACTTCAAAAATGAAAAAATATATGTAAATATAAAACAACATATAATCAAAAGTACAAGCACATAACTGATATGATGACCTAGTTACACATTTTATAGTTATTTTAAAAACTGATCTGCTGACTGATGTAAACTGGGAAGGTTATAATTGAAATATAGGAAGTTCTACTGTCCTTGATATTTTTTCCCTTAACTATTACCATTTAAATTTAACTACAAGAAGAAAACTACGAAATTGGGGGGA